CCTTATGAACCCGCGTTGCTGTGATCAATTACTGTTGGCTTTCAACTCCTGGAACAATCTCTGTGATTTTCACAGGCACTGAAGTGAGACTAACAGCCCTATAATCACCAGGGGCTTCTCTCTTGCCTTTCTTGGCTCCAGATTCCCAAGACCATTATGCAAAACAATAATAATGGACACGATGGCATCAGCCGACTCTTGGAGCACCTTGAGATGGATCCCACAGGGCTCCTCCATGCATCGTCCTACAGTGCGAGGAACTGATGAGGGGCACGGGGAGCGCAGTCGCCGTTCTACTAATTGGCTCCATGTGGGACGGGGATGAAAGAATCAGTTTTTGCTGGCCAGCCAGGCATGCAGAGCTCTGCCAAGAGGCTTGGCCAGCTCTGCGCTGCGCTTTCCATCCCACCCATGGTTTCCAGCACGGTGCTTCCCTTCGTTGGCTCTGCTACCAACCCACGCGTGCCAGCTGCCTTTCCTTTTGGCCATCCGCGTTGGGTTCAGATGGGTTTAACCACAGGGTGGAACTGCTCTCCTTGGCTTGGAAGGAAGCAGAGCTGGAAAAACGTATGGGGAAGGAAGACCTCGAGGTATTGCTTGCTGAAATGTGATGGGATGAGAAGAAGTGCAAGAAATAAGTGATGTTCCTATGTCCTAGAAAGCAAGAAATATGCAACATTCAATGCTTGGTTGGGGTTGGGGCTGTCATGCGGTATTTCAGGCTCATGGCAACTGAGAGCTCCCCCAGCATCAAGCTTCCCTCCTTCCAGCTATCCCAAAACACGTTTTCCCCAAAGCATTAAGAAAGAAATTAATTCCCTATCATTGCTGCCACAACCAAAAGGTGGAAGGGGTTCCTGCGACCTCGGGGCGCTGCCCCCAGGGAGCGTCACCCCAAAATTCCTGCATGGAAAGACCTGGATGAAGGTGCCATCTCCTGTGGCCGTAGCTCAGCTCACATGAAAGTAGGGCAGGAAGAGAAGTAAGAGGCCAACAAGAGCTTTGCAATGAGGTGGAAGTCAAGAAAAGAATGAAAGACTGCGGAAAGGAGGTCAGGAGAGCAGCACGAGGGGGGTCCTCAGGGGCAAAGGGGAGGGGGCGTCACTTCCACCCTACACAACTTCAATAGGACGTGGTTCAATGGGACACAGCCCTGAGCTTTGTGACCTGGCTCTGGAGGTGGCCTTGATGGGGTCAGGTACATCCAAAGGGTTTCTGACATCCATTCCTCAGCAGCAAATTCGGGCCGAGCCTCGTGGATGGGAGGAAAGACACAAGACCCCGTCTACAAAGCTCCAGCGTTTTGATTTTGATCCCTTTTCTTCTCCTTTGCAGGAGCGGGGGGGCAGCCACAACCGGAGAAAGCCAAGCTCAGAATGGAAATCAGAGCCGTGCTGAAAATAATTGGCATCGAATGCCCACTTCCAGCTCCAACTGGAAGGGGAAGAAGCTCCAATGTGCTGGGGAAGAGGTCACCCCTGGAGGCCCTTCTTCTGGGGAAGGGGCTGGCAGTGGGGGCCCTTCTTTGGCAGCCCAGCCCAGTGCCATCCAGGTCAGGGATGGGTCAAGTGTGTGGAAGACAAGGAAGGGCAATGCCACTCCATGAAGACAAGGGGAAGAAAAATCCAAGATGCCAGCAGGCAAAATTAAATTAAGGGGAAAATCCTGGAAAAAGAGCTGGAAGGAAGGAAAAAACCCAAATCCAACAGTGTCCCAGATGGGAGTCAGAGACGTGGGGAGAGCTGCATAGAGATGGGCTCAGAGATTTCAGTAAAAAGGCAACAAACCTTCAAGCAGAATTCTAGATGAGAATGCATACGGAATAGAGTTTAAAAAATACACAGAACAGATGCAGAAATGGAGGATAAGGACAAAGCTGGAAGCTGAACACGGTGAAGCAAAGCGAAAGGCAAAGCGAGACAAAGGGAATTGTTTGGGTTTGGTGGGAAATAACCCCAAAGACTTCTGGCCTGGTCACTGTGGTGCCCATCATTTGGAATAACTGGGTGTGTTCTGCATGGTAGAGAAATGGTTTGTAAAGAACTCATTTCTCCAAATATCCATCAAGGAGCTGCGAGGTACTTGAAACTAGAAATACTCTCCATTGGAAGGGATCCTAATGCCCAGCTCTTGGCCTCACAGTACTGGACCCCCTAATCTTGGTTCTAAGTTATGTTTTAGGGTTTCTTGGAGAGATTTTGGGGCGAGCCAAGAGTCAACCAAGAGTTAAACCATCAGAGCATCATCCAAAGGCTTCCTGAACACCAACAACCCCATCGTGCACCCAACGCATTATGTGCACACCCAGCTTTACGCTGGGTATTTTGTCCAGAAATTCTCCATATTAGCCAAAATTCATTAAAAAAAAAAAAAAAAAAAAAAAAAAAAAAATACACGTCCACTGCCTTCTCCTTGTCCCCAGCTGGGTGACCTTCAAGAGGACACGTAGGACATGGCTGCCCCTCCATGCGTGTTGGCTACGACCAACGTCTGCACTGTGTTTCAGCCATCGCATGACACATTTATCCAGCTCTGTGCTTCTGTTTTGTCCAGAAAGCCTCAATATTTGCCAAAAATCATTAAAACCCATTTCCATCCCCTCCCCTTCACCCCCCAGCTGGGTGACCTTCAATGGCTGTCCCTTCGCACACGTTGGCTGTGACCAATGACCATGTTGTCTTGCAGGTTTCTTTTTTTCCTCCAATAACACACAGAATAATCTTCTCCATAATTTTGCTGGGCACCGAAGTGAAACTGACAGCTCCATAATTACCGGGGCTTCTCTCTTCGCCCTTCTTGGGAATTGGAAGAGCCATAACCTGTGCCCACCCGCTCTGTGCTCAGAGATGCACAGAAAGCCATTGGCAGCCCAAAATGCTGGCAAACAAGCCAACAGATCTGCAGCCCCAAACCTGCTCCCTAAAGGCTGCGCCAACAGAAACAAAGCATTGCAATGAGGAACCCCCCAGCACCACCTAAATAGGGTTTCATTCCATTTAGAGAGGGAGGAGACGAGCAAGGGAAGGAAGGGGCAGCGCCATTTTGGAATGCTCGCCAGCAGGGATATAGGATCAGTTCCCTGATGCTGGACCATTCAACCAACCTTCCAGCTAAGAGCTCTGTGTTACACCAAGATCCAATAGAATCATAGAACCATAGAATATAATAATAAGAAAACACCAAGTCAGCTTTTGCAGAGCTGGTCTGGGCTTCTAGCAGTGCCTGATGCCCCTTGCGATGCAAGCAGAGACCTTCCAGAAGCTCACTCCAACTTGCTCCCGGCCCAAATCTCATTAACAGTGTTTAAAACCTTCTGCAAATGATGGGATTGGCATAAAACATGAGCAGAGAGCATCGGGGAGCAGTGGGAGAGGTTGCTGAGATCCACGCTGCTCTCAGCGCTCCGAAATACCCCAAACGATTCAAGCAAACCCATGGATTCCTCAAACAATCCCCAAGTCCCCCATTACAGATCAAGAGATTGAGCACCCCACGCCCTCATCCCCTTCAGATTAGCCTCCCCATGTCCCCAACCTCAACCCAACAACTGTGTGCTCAGCTGCTTTGCAAGAGTCCAGTCAGTTCCGCGCAGCCCGGCGACACCACGCAGCCATCTCACGCACAGCCCTGGAGCAGGGAGCAGCACTTCCCTTCCCCTCCTTGTTTTTGGTGAGGTTTGTCACCTTTCTTTCACCTTTCTGTCACCTTTCTGTCACTTTTCTGGTGAGTTGGCTTTGGGTTCCAGCCCACTGCCGCTCTGCAACCTGAGATGGAGATGGGATGGAGTGGGAGATGCTCCCAACATCACACACCAAAAAGTTGAGCACTGCTGGCCAAACCCATAGGCAAAATCCTAGCTCAACAGCTCAACACACATCTCTTTTCTCAAGACAAATCCTTTTTTTTCTTTTTCCCCTTTTTTTTTCCCTTAAATGTAATACTGGGGACATCTGATACCAGTTCACTATGTTCAGAACTGCTTCAACCTCCCCCTCACGAGCAGAAGGTGGCTGCGGTCCTTCGCTGTGACACCTCCCAGCACTCATCCCTACCAGACTCTGAGCTTTCAAGCACTATCCATAACGCCTCATGTGAATTTTGGGCACCATGCACCTAGGAATTTCTGAATGGTTGCCCCAGACAATAGGAGCATCAGCCACTGGCAGCAGGAACCCCGCTCAGCTCCCTCCTTGGCATCAGCCCCTGCCCTGGGCTTGGAGCTCTTTGTCTTCCAGCTCTTTCAAGCTAAGAATTAAGAGCTGGCATTGGCTGTGCTCATCTGCGTTCATTATGGAGAGCAGGGATTACAAGCTTTATGATATTTCAGTTAAAGACAGATGGATCCCTGCAGTGAGAAGCACAGCCTCCACAAGTAGGACTTCAACAAGGTGATGGAGCACCCAACGCCACTTTCTTGCAGCACGCGAGCAAGTTTCCAGCCTTTGGGAGAACGCTGCTGTTGCAAAGATTGTGTGCCACGTCAGCTTTTTGGGGGAAGTTTGAAAGCTTTTTGGGAAGAGCCATTGCTCTGAACCCAGTACTGTGCTCTGGGGGCTCTGCTGATGGAAGGGCCTCACTAAGACCCAAAGGTCAAACCTCAACCTCCCCCTGGGAGAACAACATCTAGAAAAAAACGAGCAGCCAAAGGGTGAACACAGCACCTTCTACGTGGGTAAAGAGCAGGGTGGCCACACTCGGCCCCAACACCCAACACCCACTTCTCTGTCCCAAATATCCCAAAGCACGCTCCTCTGCCTCAAACACCCCAATGCGCATTCTGGGTTTATGAGTTTCGCTGACGGAAATCATTTCCTTAAGCACAGCTGCTACCCAAGCAGGAGGCAACCCCTCCATCCACAGCTGGAGATATTTCATCACCACACCTTCACCCGCCCCAGACTTCACCCAGCACGACGACAACGACAAAGATGCACAAATCAACACCGGGTTCCACCAAGCAATCCGTCCCCTGCACCAAGGATCACGAGGAGTTGGCCAGCAAAAGGGTCAGTGGCTTCACTCACCGTCTCTGTAGGACTGCAAGGACTCATCTCCCCAGGATGGGGGGAATGGGGACAGAGGAGAGCGTGGAATGCTGCACTCGGAGATGGGGGTCATGCTCTTGCGGGGCACGAAGCCGTGCGGCTCTCGGCCCGGGGATGAGGGCTCCGCTCCCACCGCCGCCTGCAGCATGGGGTACTCCGCCGAGTTGGCCAACAGCTCCTTGAGGATGTTGATGGGCGAGATGGTGAGCTCCCAGTTGGTAATACCAAAGTCTCTCAGGTGGGCCCTGGCGTGGCTGGAGAGCCCGGCGCGCGTGTCGAAGCCGGCCCCGCAGAACTCGCATCGCATCAGGCTGAACGTGCTCGGGTCAAAGTTTGCAACTGAGGAAAGAAGGACAGAATCAGTGGGTAAAAGTTTGGATCGAGCCTCTGGGAGGGGGCTGTTAGACCCAAAAGAGCCATGAGACACACCATAGCCATCAAGGCTGGCCACGGCGCCATACGTACCCGTAGTCCGGGGGGGGGGAGGGGTTTCTAAACCCCACCAATTAAAGCAAGAAAATAGAAAGCACGGCAAATTGAATACATACTACCTTTTTTCTTCTTCTTTTGGAAGGAAAATTTTTGCTCAATAGCTTTCACTTCTTCCGCCGAGATGAAATGCCGGACGTTGTAGCTCACCCCAACACGATTGAGGTGGCCCCGCACGTGGTTCGCCAGCCCAATGCCGTTGTGGAACCGATCCGGGCAGTACGGGCACTTCCTCTCCTCGTTTTTCAACATGGGCGAGTCGGAGTCCAAAAAGTCATCAAACTCTAAAGGAGAGTCCAACAGGAGCACATCCAAGGGAAGAGGCTCTTCCATCATGAACTCCCGCGATGGGAATGCTGTTTTCTTCTTGTAGGGCTTTGCCCGGGGCCGTTTCTTTGCTTTGGGGTGTGGGTTGATCTCCTCCAGCAGAACGATGGGCACCATCATCCGCAGCTGCTGCTGCTGCTCTTCGGAGGCAATCAAAGGGTCCGTGGCTCTCAGCGTGTCTCTGTACGTCCTCTTGAGGTCCAAAGCAGCTTGAGGGATGGTGACGGGTTTGGTGACTCTGTGCTCCATCAAGTCCGTGTCCGCGGCCATGGAGAACTCCCCTTCCACGCCCCCCACCTCGTTGATAAACATCCATTTGTGCCTGACCTCCTCCAGTCCAGCTGAGTGACTCCTCAGACCATCGCCTTCGGCTTCAAGCTGCTGAGCTGCTGTTTTTTTTTTCAGGTGCTGCAGAGCAAACTGCGAATAAGCCTTTGTGGAGGAGAGCCCCAGGTTTTTGTGGCGGGCAGCGTACGGGGCCGCTTTCCTGGCATGGAACCCCGACGTCATGTAGTCCTTTTTGCTGCCCCCGTTGCTTTTGTTGAGTCTTGGGTGATCGACGGTGAAACTGTGCACATCGTAATGCGACGCGCTTTCTCGGTGGGGCGGAGGGAAGAGCTGGTCTGCTTTGCCAAAATAATCAGTCTCTGCAAAGCAGCCTGTCCTGGCGGGGCTGTAGGCATCCCTGCTGGTTCCCGGTTGGTTGGGATCTTCCTCGTACACCTCTGCATCCCAGGAGAGGTGGGAATGGGCGTATTTCATGTGCTCTTTGAGGATGTTCTCGTTGGGTGCCGGGAAGCTGCAGAGCACGCAGGTGCTGAGCCCTTTGCCGTGCGGAGGCGCCTGCACTTGCAGGGCCAGGTGCTCGTTGGGTTTGAAGTGTTTGTACATGCTGTGCACGGGGCTATCCTGCAGCTCTCCGCTCCCGTAGAGATTCAGGCTCTTCGCTCCTTGGTCCTTCCTCTCCTTGACGTGCATCTTGGCGTGCTGCACGAAGATCTTGGAAGAGTTGGTGCCAAAGACGCACTTGGGGCACTGCAGCCGGGCTTCCCGACCTTCATCTGGGAACTCGTTCAGCTTCTGGATCTCCTCGATGATTTTTTCCCTGGATTCCTGGTGGAGCCTTTTGTGCTGCTCCAGGGACGCGAGGTCCCCGAAGGCCCACCCGCACTCATTGCAGCAGAACTGGCACTGCCCTCTGAGAGCATCCCCATCTTGGTCCCTCCCTGGTCCGCGGTTGTGCTGGAGCATGTGATCCATCAGGTGCTCCTTCTTCTTGAAGTAGATGCTGCACTCGATGCACGTGTACACCGTGGGATCCTCCTCAGGACCCAGCTCCTCTTTGCCCTGCTCCTCCACCAGCACGCTGCACACATAGGGCCTCATCTCCACATCATAGGAGCTGCAGGGAGTGGGCTCCAGGGACATCAGTGGGATCCTCTCCACCGAATCCTCAGAATTCACCGTCCACGACTGCTTGCCGATGGCGAGGTCGGTGCTGAGCTGCAGAGCTGGCTTTGGGATAGTCCACTCAGCTGCGCTGAGCGCACCCATCTCACCCGCGTCCGAGTCGACCCCCAGCCCCCTCCTATGGGACGAGGGGGTCTCGAGAGTTTTGGACTTGCTGAGGACAGGGTTCAGAGACTTCCTGAACACCGTCGGAGTCAGCGGAGGAGGCACTTCACGCACAGCCTGTCCCCGGAAGGGTACGTTGGTTGCTACATCCGTCGGCTTGCTCACGTCTTTGTAGTGAGGACTTGGGCTTCTGTTGGGTCGTGAAATCCAGTCGACCCTCTGTGTCCCCCTCCTGCTTTTCTCTAAGTGCTCTTTGCCGACGCCTTCAAGTTGCTTTGGTTCAGGTTTAAGGTATTTCTCCTCCCCACCCCCCACCGGTGGCCCCGTGCAAGGGTTGGGTATCCCGGCTGCCGCCATGCCAGCACCCAGCTCCTCGGCGTCACTCTCCAGGTCCTCAGGATCCACCCGCACCGTATTTACAACCTGGGGATCCCCAGGGAATGTCGACACATCCTTTGAGTCCTTCAAGCTAGAGAGTCTCTCTAAAGTGCTTTCTTCTCTGCCATCGCCTGCTCGCGTCTCCAGGGCAGAGGTGTCCCAGGGCACGCTGCCGGACACCGTCATGGCACGCAGCTCCAGGGAGCTCCTGGCGTCTGCTCTGTACAAAGCCTTCTGGAACTCTAAATGCTCCTCAGTCTTGGAGCTGCAAAAGAAGTTTGGACAGTTAATGGCTGGTTAACAGCGATGTTTCTCCTGTATCGCCCCAAACATCAAGGATTTAGAACCAAAGGAAAAAAAAAAACGCGCTCAAAGACCACTCGTCCCACCCCCCCTCTGTTGGCCGTTGGCCTTTTACCCAACGGTGATGCATGGTGCTAACAAGTCAAAGAGCAGGACAGTGAGCTGCATAAAAACAGGACTGACGTGCCAACATGGACCACACCAAAGGCCTGTGGGACCAAAGGACAACTTGTCCCCATCATGAAGTGCAAGTCTCTCTCTGCAGCACAGGGGGGGGAACGCTGACCATCCTCCATCTTTCCTCCCTGTTGCAGATACCCTCAAATCACACCAGATTGAGTTGGTTCCTCCCCCAAACCCTCAGCAGGACCCCAAACTTAGCAAGACCCCATCAAGCAGCTGGAAAACAAGTCTCCGTGGGGCAACTCTACTGGTGGACTGGGTGGCACAAGGCCAACCAGGTGGTGCTGTTGACACCACCACCACAGCAAAGAGAGGTGCTGGGTTCTGGAGAGCATGCCCATGGGCAAACCGTGGGCTTCTGAAGTCCAATGTTTGGGCTTGGAAGCTTTTTCCCCCATATGAAAAAAAAAGGGGACCGCAAAGGTGCAACAAAGGTACGCGATGTTCTTCAGGATGCCCCAAGGGATTGGAGACATCTGCACAGCGAGACAGAGCATCGAGCCCTTCTGCAAGGGTGGTGGGAGGCTCGCTAGGGAAACCAAGAAATCCAAAAGCACCTGATGACCATATTCAAGATTCTGAAGAGAGTCCGAGCAATGCAGATGCGCCCAGAGAGCAATCATGACCCAAATCTCAACCAGAACAGAAGGCCCAACACCAACAGGGCCCACACAGGAGGAAGAGGACATCTCCATTGGCAGCTTAGTGGGGTCTGGAAGGTGCAAGCAGACCCCAACCCGCGGCCCAAGGCTTGGGGCAGAGATGGGAAGACAGAGGACCTAAGGGTGCCACAAACTCCCATCCACACCGTGCTGATGGAAGGGATGAGTGGCCAAGAGCACCACGTCCTGGTGCTCTGCTGAAACCACTCCCAAGGGAAGAAACCCCGAGCCTCAAAGAGCCCAAGGACTGAAGATGCTGTGCAAGGGGCTGCTCCAGGCCAGCAGAACACTATCTCACGGGTCAGGCTGCCAGGAGAACAAAGCATCTTTCTTTGTTAGGGACAGCAGGGCTTACAGTTCCATGCATTTCTCATCATTTTTAAACCTATTTCCTAACACGCAGAATTCAGGGGCAAACCAGTTCCTGCACTTGCCTTCCTGGCTCCGAATCTTTCCCTATCCTCTTTTCTTTTGCGTAAACACACAGAGAAATTGAGAGGACGGGCTCTCCATCGTCGGCAGTGTGGTAGCAGGGAAATGCGATTCCCATATGCACCACAAACGTGATTAAAAATAACTCACTAAGGAAACCGCTGGCCCAGGAAGGATCATTCAACAGCAGATACTAAAATAAACCCATTAAAACGTGCCAGGCATGGGCTGTGTCACCGAGCGAAAGCTGAGGGAGAGCGATTCCCATAAGGAGCCTCGGGCTGCCACCACTCAATCTGCTTTCTCCAGCGTGCTCAGAGGTGTTAGGGACACCCCAAGGAGCTTGGGGACGCCCATCTCAGCAGCCGCCTCTTCCCCCTGCGCCAGGGATGGCCCCAAGAGAGCAAAGCAGAACTGAGGTGCTCCAAGGGGCGAAGTGGGACGGGCAGAAGAAAGGGGTCGTGGAGGGAAGTGGTGAAATGAACCTACGTGGGAACAACCAACAGTGCGTTGGAGAAAGGGAATGGTGCTGGCGTGGTGGTCGGGACGACCCTCTTTGGGGACAGCCAAGCAGAAATTTGGGGGTTTTGTGCTGTTAGCAAGGGGAGATGCTCTGCAACATCCCCAGGGCACTTACCCGAGTTCGGTCCTGTGAGCTGGGGCTGGGACAGCACCGGAGAGGGCAGGATCAGGCTCATCTGCAACAGAGAGGAAAGCTCCAAGGTCAGTGCCCAAGTGAGGCTCCTGCAGCGCAATTTGCAATCAACGTGATTTGGGTGTCGGAAAGAAAAAGCTTTCCCAGCAGATCAACCCCTTCTGCTCCTGCTGCCCTGTCCTGCTACGGCCGGGTCCGGATTACGGGAGGATTGCTGAGCCACACTTAAGAGGGTTTAATCCCGCGCAAAAGTATTTGGTGGATAATCGTTCCTGCAACTAAGCAGGCGAGAGGGGAGATGTGCACGGCTCCAGCCGCGCTCCTGCCAACCTGGAGGGGTTGGTTTTGTCCACTCTGCAAAGCAGACGGCATCCCATGGGCTCTGGTTTCTCTGGGTGCACAGCTGAGCATCATTCTGGGCTTGGTGGTGCTGACCACACATCTCCAACCCTGCTTGGGGGCTGACAACGCACGGGTGAATCCTGCTGAGCTCTACTGGGCTCAGATGGACCAGGAGCAGCCCTGAAGAAGTGGGAAAATTTTTGTCGGTGTCCAAGAAGGATGCGTGGATCCCGCCTGGACAAGATTGCAAGCAGAGAGAGGACTGGGCACAAGAGCCGTGCGCACACTGCAGCTACGGAGCCAAGAGTTGGACTGGATGATCCCAATGGGCCCCTTCCAACTCAGGATATTCTATGGTTCTTATGATTGTAGATGACCTCCATTCCTTCCCTGACTGACGCAGCCACTTGTAGGTCATGTTTGCTTCCAGATTGCTGCTTATGTGCCAGAAGTCGAGCGCGACGGCCCAAGGAATTTGGGACCACCATTATGGAGATGAAGGAGGCAAGGCACAGGAACGTGAAAAGCCATCGCCGGTTTTCCACCCTAACATCTCAAGCAAAGCACACAAGAGGTGAGAAGCTTAAAGCGAGGATCTCTTGGAAGGAGATGATGGGTTTTGAGGTCTTTCACCTGGATGGGGCCACCATGGCGACCCTTCATCGGCACAACCAGAGGACGCAGAGAGGTGGCCTTGAACTCCAGCAGCTCAGGTTTTTTTTTGGCTTCAGAAGCATTTTGGAAAAGCCCGTTGGGATGCACGGCCAAGCTGTGAGGTCACGGGGGACGAATAGTGTTCATTCAGGAAAGCCTGAGTCACTGACCATCCCGGCCAGGCACGTGGGGGAAGGGATGGGAAAACCCTCCCGAACGGGCAGACTGTAAAACGCTTCCAAAAAGAATCAAACCAAAAGCGACCGTGAGGAGAAGGGAAGCTGACGGAGGGGACAGTCGGGTGAAGGGACGGGCAGGAGCCTTCCAGGGGCTCTTTGTTCCGCAGAGCTCCAACGTGGCTCCTATTTTTAGCAGCTGTCTCCTTTAGAGGAAAACACGCCGTGATTTATCTTCCTCCTGATGAGCACGTAACTGTGCTCCCTGCAAATCCTGGTTTCTTGGAAACAGCGAGAGATGAGGGAGTTTAATGTCTTGGACTTAGCAAGCTCACGTTTACCCTCTATGGTAATCCAGTGAGAGCTGCTCCTCGACCACGGGAGCGCAACTGCAGCTTCTCCCAGGAGAGCAACGCGGCAGCCACAAGGTCAACCACTCTCATCCGTTGGATCCACTACATAAAAAGGACACGGAACCGTCAGAGGGCATCCAGGGGAGGGCACGAAGACGGCGTTGGGTCTAGAGGGCGAGACAAGGAGCAGCCCCAGGCCACTTGGTTTGTTTAGCTGAGAGGAGACTGACACCACGCTCAGGGTTGGGGCTTTGGGAGCTCTCATGTTGAGCAGGGAGTTGGACTTGATGATCCTATGGGTCCCTCCCACCTCGTAAAATTCTACAGTTCTATGGTTTTTCCTCTACACAGAGAATGAGAGCCGCCAAGACACCGAGACGCTTTCGAACATCAAGCAAACACGTGAGCTTGCAGCAGCCAAAACACACACAAAGGGCAGAGATAAGGGAAACCAGCACTGTTCCCAGTGTGGAACGGTTACACCGGGACCAGGAGCTCTCCTACACACGCTGAACCCACTCCCAGATGCATTCAGCAAAGGTTACTCGCAAAACTCATTTCAAAGGTCACGAATTGAGTAATAATGACATCACCATTCGGGCCAAAAGCGCGCCGTTTCACCAAGGTCACTGCAGGCAGTGTTGATAAGCAGAGGTTTAACAGCATGCTCACAAGGCACGGCTTCACCTAAACCGTCACCACCACCACCCAGCAGCACAAGGACACACTGCAAAGTGCTTTTCCACATCCAAGTGTCGGATCCTTCCTACCCAGAGGGTCCCCAAGGGCTCTTCTCTACAGGATCCCTTCTACCCAAAGGGTCTCCAAGGATTCTTTTCTATGGGATCCTTCCTACCCAAAGGATCTCCAAGAAGGTCTTCCTTACGGGATCCTTCCTACCCAAAGGTTCACCAAAAGGCTCTTCCCACCCTGGGATCCTTTTTTCTTCAAATAGTGTTGCCCTTGCAGTGATGTTGGTGCATCCAACGTCCAAAAAACTAAGTCCAGCAAAGGCCCCCAGCCATGGGTGACAGGAGGACTCAATAAATGGAGACAAGCAGGGGAAAACTGGGAGTGTTCAGCTTCCAGGTGAGGGCAGGAAGGTGCTGCCTACAGCCACTAACTGGAGGGTGTGAAGATGGAGCCAAACCCCTCCTGGACATGCACAGTGAAAAGAAAAGAAAGTCACAACACAGGAAACTCTTTCCACGGCCCAGCTGTGGGACGCAGATATCTCCACCCCTGAAGACGCTCAAAACTCGACCGCATGCAGCTCGAACAACTCAAACAATTCTGAAGGTGGCCATAGCCTAAGCTCAGGGTTCAAAGCAAAGATGTCTTTTGGATGGTGGTTTCCCTCAGCTCTACACCAGCTAGAAATGATGAGATGCTTTGGAGTTCAACCAAGAAATGATATTTTCCTTGAGGTCTCATACACAGCTCCCAAAGAGGTCTCAAGCAACAGCCCAGAGGAGTCTGCAGGAGTGAGGATTTAAAGGAAATCCATAAAAACATTATTTCCTAAACTTCAAAAGCTGTCGATCTGTGTAAGGTCCATCATCTGCACGCACTGGAAGGATTCCCCTCCACCACACAACCCTCCAGGATGGCAGGGAGGATGCCTACCTGACCTCCAAAGCCCGTCTGCACCCTGTATCTCAGCAATATGGAATGGGGAGGGAGGGAGGTTCAGCCCAGCCTTCAGCCCTCCCGATCAACTGGGCTCTTCCTGAGGGTGAATACTTGGTGCACACCAAAACCAGACTCTCCCAAAAACAGAAGAAATCAAGCAAATTGGACCAGAATTTGCAATACTACTTTTTGGACCAAGCTGAAAGTTTCCAAGAGCCTCCCAAACAAGCTGACCACCTCCAAAAACCCTGCAACAAACCAACCTGTGGTGTTTTGTTGTGTGTTTCTTTTTCTTTTTTTCCTCCAGCCATCTAAACAGGGCAAAAAGAGGTATTTTAGTTCCTCTACTGCCAATTGAGCAGGGGGATATTAGGCAAGTGAGTAGGCTATAAGCAAGGGTTAGGCAAGGGGTGAGGTCTTGCATCATCTCCTGTGTAATGCAGGATGTTGCAAGGCATGAGTTAGCCTTGGAATTAAAGAGTAGCTCCTGCTCAGGATGAAGCTTTCATCTTGGGCGTTTAATTTGACAGCAAATGGTGCTGGAAGACTCTCTCATTGGCACCGGCAGCTTCTGCGTGTTGTAAATAGCCTGGAAGAAAAACCACAAATCTTTGGCTTGACGCGTGGCTTTCTGGAGTCCAAACACGCAGCAGTGACCCATGGTGCCAGAAAAACAGCAGACGGTGCGGCACAGCGGTGGGAAAACACTGCAGCCCCATGGAAAACACTGCAGCCCCATGGAAAACACTGCCCCAACAGCAGGCAGTGCTGCCGCTTTGGATGGCACAGGTTTGTGTTTTTCTTTCCAAACTAGAGCAACGAGGCTCCCGTGCAAGGAATGCGTGGCCTTGGGCTGAGAAGCAAAACAAAGCAACTCCACACACACACACAAAAAAAGGGAAAGGGTGTAACAGCTCTTCTCCCAACTCACCATTAATAGGAGCTGCAGTTCCTACACGAATGCAGAGCCTTTCCCTTTTGCAAGAGGAGAAAGCTTGCACCCCAACACCCCCCTTCCACTGAGGGCACCCGAAGGAGCAGCCTGGTGTCCTGCAAACCCAAACCAAGACCTTCTGATGACATTGCTGCTCCAGCTCTCCAAGTAGGGCAGATCCCCAGAGATCCCCAGAGGATGGCACCGCTGCTCAAAGTCTTCAACGGTGTTTCTGCCCCCAGTCCCCAACTAGGGTAGACTGTTCTCCACCAAAAGGACACAGCATTGCTCCTCAAGATCCTCAATGGTATTCCTGCTCCAAATCTCGAAGCAGGGCACAGCACTCCTCCATCCCAAGAGAATGGTATTGCTCCTTAAGCTCCTTGATGGCCTTTCTACCCCAAATCTCCAAGTTGGGTGGACTACTCTCCATCGCAAGAGCACAGCGCCAATCCTCAATATCCCTCATGGTATTCCTGCTCCAAATCCTGCCTCAGAGCAAATTCTGCTCCATCCCAAGAGCGTGGCATCGCTTCTCTCCATCAGGAATCATCCCACTGTGTCCCGCGTGCGCGTCCGAACGCTCCCCAGGGTAGGGCAAGACAATCGTGCTCAACGTCCCTTTGCTGTGGCTTTGCCAGAGGCAAGCAGGAGATTCTGCTCACACTCCTGAATACAGATGAGCTGGCGAGAAGACTTGGGCAGAGCCGTGAATTTCACATTTCCTCCTGAAGACGGATGTGTTTGGGGTCAGCTTTCCTCCTCCAGCACTGGTGAAAGATCCCGGCCGTCCGCAGACGGAAACGGGATGCGTTTCTTTCTCTTTCTGCACGATGGCAGCTCAGGGCTGTATTTAAGGACACTCCTAAGCCCCCAGGCAGGTGACCTTGAGGACAGGAGCTCTTCAAAGCCCGGCGTGCTGGCAGCACATCGCGTCTCATCTGACTCGAGC